CGTTTCAGAAACGCCAGTGTCAATATGCTCAATCAAATTCTCATCAATGAAAAGGATAGAGACATTGAAAAGGTAGAACAGCAGCAGAAATAAAAGTGACCTTTTGGAAATTACTTTTGCTTTCATTGTTTGTGCTCAGATTTGAAGAGTATTCACTATTTGTTTTGCTAAAATTCTTCCAAACGTCATTAAACTGAGACCTTGGGGCAACTTGTCTGACTCTGGGTAGAGAATAATTACCATCTGCACCCTACAAATGTGGGTAAGCTTGCACTGAAATAAACCATCCAAATCCATGACGAACATCAAAATTGTAGACATAAGGAGCAAAGCAGAAAATTGTAGTATGACAAAATAGCTACATTTAATTATGTAAAATTACATAGAATTTTAGTCTTCTTTAGAGGTGCTTTATTTAAACTTACATCTAAAGGCACGTCTTTGGTTAATGCAACTTTCAAGTCCGGGAGTTGACAGAACATTTATTAAATTTAAAATTCAAGCAGATTGTAATGCTTGCAATTTTGAAAGTTAGAGGGCCACTTTTCAGAGAAAAAATATTATTTAAAACCGTGAGGTCCACTTGATCCCCTTTGCTCATATCAAATCTTTCATGTGCCCCTACCTATGAAGACTTTTCTGCTCTTTTGCAGAGAACAAATCTCATCCTAGGCAACAGAGTGAGTCTACTCAAGACTTTCTCTTCCAGCCAGGCAGCATTCTAAGAAATGGTGTCCCTCTATACATGGCCTTTGCGGATCCTATGACCAGTCTTGGTTGCCCTTATCTCTGAGTCACCCCAGGGAAGCTACACGAGTGACCGAGCACCATTCTCACAAAAAAAGACGCTCTGGGTGGCTTGCTGTCTGGTTAGCTGGAGGACTGAAAAATCAATGCTATCAACTTCTGAGTACACTGAGCAGCTCATTAAGCATCATTATGCCCATTATTTCCCCTGGCTCCTACAGTCCCTTTCCGAAGACAGCATTTGTGTACACTCTGTAAAACAAGTTCTACTATCCTGGCTATAGGATATTCATCGAACCAGGAATTTGGGGCTCAAGAGTATCGCTATGAGTCAAAATGTGATTAGAGAAGAGATAACCAAAGACACCATGACAGTAAGATCGAGTTGACCATCACAGAGAAGAACTAAACAGCCGCTTTCCTAGAGCTGCCTCAGAGCACAGACAGGCTTCCAGTTTTAGTCCATATTTGTCCTTACAACTAATCATCACTTCTTCCTTTCTCTAAAGCTGAGTCTCATTTTGAAGCAACTCAGAGAAAGCCTCCGAGTTGGTATACACATGTGGTGTATCTAAATCATAATACAATAAATAAATATAATGCTTTCGTTATACAACTCCCAGGACCACTCTTTCTATGTAAAATGTGAACTTTACTCTCTGGAGCAGCTCTCCAGCTCTCTCCCATGCGTATTCTTTCTCTCAGAATCTGCCTTCTCTCCTATTCTCATTTCAAGCCACAAAATGTGCCCTCTGTGTGCAAAATGGCAGTTAGAGATCACAGAGATGGAAATGGGACAATCCCTCTTTCATGTGCGGCTTCCAAGCCTTGGGGTAACAGAGGCTCCATTTTTCCAAACTCTGCTTGCAACTGCTTTGTTAGCTACCAGCGTCAGAATGACCACTTGAAGAATTTTGCTGAAGCAGAGGAAAAGTACTAGTTCTAGAGGGGGGGAGTGCTCCTATTTGATCATAGGAAGAGCAGCGTCAGACAGCACAGTCTAAAAAGGACTCACTATTCCCAGGCACAGGGGGCTTTCCTGCTACACTAAAGGAGAACATATCCATCCACCATCCACATTTCACCTTAACCTTCCTCTACTAAGTTCTGGATAAAATACCTTACTTATGAATAAATAATAACAACAATCCTTAACTCCTTTAGAGAGAGGGATCTGGCAAATGTACTCTACTAGAGATGCCATCTTTTCCCAGCCCTCCACATGCAGACCCTCTGTCCCAATGGAAGAGCAGGAGTAGACACCTGACCCAAGATGGGCCAATTATTATCCCTCCTGGGAGCTTTGAGTTAGAATGAACAAATACTGAGTTGGTTAATTATGTGACACCAAGCTGGAAAGCCAGCAGGAAGAGGCGAACATTTTAAAGCGGCCCAGCACAAGGTGATGAGTAAATTAAGCAGCAGTCAGCAGAGAGAAAAGAATGAAGATGGCATGCAGCATAGAAAGATACCGGGAGGCCCCTGGAAGACACGAAAGGAGAAAAAAAGGTGGGGAAATAAAATGAAAAGCTATATGATAACTTTTTTTTTTTTTTTTTGAGATGGAGTCTTGCTCTGTCACCCAGGCTGGAGTGCAGTGGTGGATCTTGGCTCACTGCAACCTCCACCTCCCAGGTTCAAGCGATTCTCCTGCCTCAGCCTCCTGAGTAGCTGGGATTACAGGCATGTACCACCATACCTGGTGAATTTTTGTATTTTCAGTAGAGACAGGTTTCACCATATTGGCCAGGCTGGTCTCGAACTCCTGACCTCAAGTGAGCCATCCACCACGGCCTCCCAAAGTGCTGGGATTAGAGGCGTGAGCCACTGCACCTGGCCAATAATTCTTATAAGTCCCAGAGTTCTGGCTGAAATTAGATTCCTTAAATAAATTTCAACTTGCTTAAACCAACGAGTAGATTTAGGGTCCTCACAATGAAATGTACATGTACCAGTTGATTTCTTCTAACAAAAAAACAGCATCACTAAGTAGCAATCTGTGAACATAAGGCTCTTAGTTTTAGTCATAACTGACATTAAAGACATTAAATTCTGAGATCACTTTATACTTACCACTTATTTTCTTCCATCAAAATTATTATACTTATAACAGGAGTACCACAAATTCCACAATTATTCATGGAGCTACTTTTGTGCATGGTGATGAATAAGTCAGGATTCCTTCCTGTTGGGGCTGGGAATCAGTGATGTCAACGAATAATGACAATGATGTCTGAAAAGTCTGTCATGGAGGCATGTTCTAGGGCTTCAGAGACACTACCTTATTTGATTTTCACCTTCAAAGAGAGTTACAAGAATCAACACTTAGCAAAAACAATCACACAAGACAGGTAACCATTAGTTTAGTTTCAGTAATTTGTACTTGAAGCCTGAGGAAATAAAGTATTGTTCACTTGGCACATAATTGGCATTTAATAGATGTGAGCCTCCTCCCCAATGTCTTGTCATCCCTAACCACCTCCAATCACCATTTTAACAGTTAAAAATCAGACATAAGAAAAGATTAGGCAATTTGTCAACTTGGCTGAGAACACAACTTAATTTAGAGCCGACAATTGAAAGCACAATTGAAAAGCAACATTCTTTTCACTCTGAGGTAAAATTTCCCAGCAAGATGTCAGAAGAAATATACACTCTTCTATTTAAACACACATGTAAGCCAGACGCAGTGGCTCACACCTGCAATCCCAGCACTTTGGGAGGCCAAGGCGGGTGGATCACGAGGTCAGGAGTTCGAGACCAGCCTGACCAACATGGCAAAACCCTTTCTCTACTAAAAATACAAAAATTAACTGGATGTGGTGGCACACGCCTGTAATCACAGTTACGCAGGAGGCTGAGGCAGGAGAATCGCTTGAACCAGGGAGGCAGAAGTTGCGGTGAGCCAAGATAGCACCATTGCACTCCAGCCTTGGCAACAGAGGGAAACTCCATCTCAAAAAACAAACAAACAAACAACAACAAAAAACAAGCGTATTAAGCCACAAACTGGCTTATCTCTTCTCCCTCCTGAGGTGGTATTAAAATAACAAAAGCTTTTTTAAAAGCATAAACCCTAGTGACAAAGAAAACAGGAGGACACAAACACAACATCAGAAGAATGATAGAAATGAGTTTCCAGGGAAGAAAGCCCCAGTTCACCACTGGAGGGATGCTGCAGGGAGGGCCAGCCAATGGAGAGAGTTGGCTGGCTGTGCCAAGGCCTTTAGAGGTTTTCGGTATGGCACACGGTAGGTGGAGGCAAGGGAAGAAAGCCTGAAGATTTCCTTCCTGCCCTCCCACTAGGAGGACAAGGTCTCTACCTGCTCAGTGGAGGGCCAGTGCTTTGCCTCCGGAGAGGCTGAGAGGGAGAGGCTTTGGGAGCAAGAAACCAGGTTCAGAGCAAGAGCGGAAAGATGCACAAGGAACAAAACATGAGAACTAACGTCACATGCAGGCCTCCGACCAACGAAGAACTTAGTGAACTGGGCTGCTGCCCATTAGGGGAGAGATTGGAAGCATTTTTGTGTGAAAAAGTCCCAGAGTAAATCCTCTCATGTACATACTAACAATGTTGGGGCCCTCTCAGGGTGACTGGTTTGCTGCCTTATTATTCAGAAATGAAGGCCACTGCTTGTCATGCCACACATGTCTCCCCGGCAGCTCTTTAAAAAAAATCAATTTATTGAAGAGATGGTCACATAAAATTTACCATTTTAAAGTGAAGGATTCAGTGACATTTAGTAAACTTGTAATGTTTGCAGCCACCACCTCTATCAAGTCCCCGTCGCTACAAAGTAAAACTCTGTTCCTATTAAGCACTTTCTCTCCATTCTCCCCTTCCCCTGACCCCTGGAAATCACCAATCTCCATTCTGTTCTCATGAATGTATCTATTCTAGATATTTCATACAAAAGGAATCATACAATATGTGACCTTTTGCCTTGACTTCTCTCAACTGGCATAATGTTTTGGAGGTTTATCCATGTTACTATATGTATCAGTACTTCATTCATTTTTATGATAGAATAATATTCCATTGTATGAATACACTACAATTCAGATCGGCTTTTGATGCCTCAGTCTAATAAAAACAATTGACTATCACAATACATAAGGCAAAAGAAAGAAACCAAAATAAACAGAAAAATGAAAACTGGAGAAAACAATATAATTCAGAGAACACAGTAAAACTTCTAAAAAGTAACATCTCATATCCTGAAAGATTAAATAAATGCACACCCATATGTGTATTTGTGTACATATTTGTATATTTACTGTATACACATATCTACAGATAAATGACATCTTTAAAATAATAAGAGGATGCTGTGAGAAAAACAAAGGTTAAAAAGAACTAGTTGGCCAAAATAAAAATAATACATAGAAGGTTAGGAAGATAAGGAAATATCCCAAAAAGTCTGATCAAGGGAAATTTTGAGAGAAAAAAATCACATATACAATTGTGAGAAGAAAATTAAGCAATGCCCTATTTTGAAAAACAAATGTTTCTTAGTCTAAAATTTTACACTCAGCCAAACTATTAGTCAAGGGTTAGAGTAAGGACATATTCTGACATGAACGGTCTCAGAAAATTAGCTTCTTACGAAGACTTTCTAAGGAATCTATTTGTGTGCTCCAATAAAGTGCGAGAAGAAAAAAGCATGGATACAGGACACAGGAGATATAAGTTGGCAAACAGGATGAAAGAGCTCCAGCGCAACAACAGCTGGGTCACAGGCTGAGACATGACCAGTCCAGGATTGTGCAGGAAACTGAAGACTTTCAGATCATCGTTGCAAATAAAGTACAGTGTATGGACACAGCCATAAATTTCCATCAGCAGAGTACACAGCCATCCAAACTCCAGCCCTGCCCAGGAAAATGTAGCACAATTAAAAGTAATCTGCACTTTTCAGCAGCTTCAAGGTCGAAGTTTTGTATGTAGTTAAACAGATATTTACCTGTCTCCTATGATATGGAAAAGCTGGGTGCTGTGTACTGGTTATTCTCCATTTGCCCCTCCAAATTCATTCTCCACCCTTCTTTGCCTTCTCTATGTCAAGAGGCTGACTTCCAGGGACTGCGTCACCAGGCTCCATTGGCCTCAATCTTGCAGTCAGGTTTGGCCAGTGGGAAGCACCGGCGGGCAATCAGAAGGCAGGAGGAGAGACCAGGATACATACTCCTCTCTCCATTCTGTTTCTACAGCTGTGCTTTTTCCTTTATGGCCGCATCTCTTGTCGGGCAGCTCCTCTCCCAAGGCTGTAGCTCTCACTAGGTTCCAGGACAATTCCCTCCTCCTTGCTCCTTCAGGAAAGGGATGGTAATGACTTCCCAGAGTTGCTAGTTCCTGGGTGCCTCACTCTTCCTTCCCAGCTCCCTTAATCCGCCCATACCTTTGCAAAGAGTCCCATTATTAAACTGTATTCAATGACAAACCTTTGAATATACATCTTTTTTTCTGCTATGACCCTAAATAATAAACTTTTTAAAGCTTAATTTAAAACTGTAAACAAACACTAGTATATTATTATAGGTGAATTATTTGTTTTTAATCTTCCCTTCTGAGTTTAACAAATCGTGTGTGTGTGTGTGTGTGTGTGTGTGACAGAGAGAGAGAGAGAGAGGAGAGGGAGAGAGAGAGAGAGAGAGGGAAAAGGACAGGAAGAAGCAGAGGCAGACGGAGCCAGGGGTGAGAGAGAGACAGAGAAAGTTTGAGACGAAGAAAAAATACCATATTTTATTGATTCCAGGTTCTTGCCGTAATCAGCTGTATAAAAGATCCTTTAGTACTGGTGCTCAGACAGTGTTTTACAAAACAGAAAGATTATGCAATACTTAATATTTGGTAACAATTTTTAGTACATAGTAAATATTTTATTACTTTATGTAATAAACATTCTGAAAAATAAATTCTGTCATTATGATATAACTTATGATCCTCCCCCTAACATGGCTATGTTCTCTAATTATTTGTTTGTAAGTAAAATCATAATAGTTATAATCACAAGTAATACTAGTTTTAATCATAATATGCATATAATTTTGAATCCTGATTTTTCTACTTGTATGTAATGACCATGTTACTATCTTGCCACATAATTTTCATAATCATTTGAAAACTGTACATTGTACTTAATCATATGGATATACCATAAATCACAAACCACAGCTATACCACATTATCCTAGGCAATGTTCCTATAATCTATTTGAACATTTTTATTGTTCAGAAAATAACATCAAATAAATCTGATGGACATGAGTTCTTCCCTTAGAAGAGTAAGCCAAGCTGGGACTTAAAGTATGTTTGCTCTAGAATCTAGACTGGCCTGTAGGATTGACAGGCAAGTTGGCCAATGGTGTATGTGTACTGAGAAACAAGGGCAGCCCCTTCGAGAAGCCCATTCTCTAGGAAAAGTGAGCTTGGGACTCAGATAATGCTTGAGTACTGGAGAGGGACAAAGGTTCTAAGTACAACAATTGGTCAGTTAATTCACTTGTCTGATGAACAGCTGTGAGGCCTGTTTCACCAAATATTGATGAGATGTTGTGATCACCAGCCACACTAATTTAGGATCCCTGTATCTCAAGAAGAGGAGAAGGCTTTTTCTACCTCCAGGGAGAACAAGAGCACCGTCACCACTCCAAGGACCCAATGAAGTATAGCTTCAATAGTGTCAGCTGCAGGTGGCACCTGTGGCAGTAGCAGCCCTTAGGTGCCTTCCACAGCTACTGGCAGCAGACATTTCTGCTGGGAGATGAAGCCAGAGCCAGAGAGAACCATGTACTCCATGTGGTTGTGCAAATTCCTGGTGTTTGAAAGCAACCCTCACACAATTTCCCAAAATAATGAGGGAAACCCTTGTGGGCTGTCTAGCCTTTGGGACAGACATTTTTTTAAAAAATGCTATTTGTTACTGTTAATATAGGGTCTAAATTACCCTCTGGGTTAGCGAAAACTAGGAAAAAATGAATTGAACTTTATTATTTTTATGCTAGGAGGGAAGGTACATAGACATTTACTATACTGTTCTCTACCTGTTTGAAATATTTCGCTTAAAAGATAAAATCACAGTGCAAGTAAACATGCTTTAATAGAAGGAGCATAAATATGGCAAATTTACACAAAGTATTTTCCTTCCTTCTTTCCTTCCTTCCCTCCCTCCCTCCCTCCCTCCCTCCTTCCCTCCCTCCCTCCTCCTCCTTCTTCTTCCTCTCTCTCTCTCTCTCTCCCCTTCCTTCCTTCCTTCCTTCCTTCCTTCCTTCCTTCCTTCCTTCCTTCCTTCCTTCCTTCCTTCCTCCCTCCCTCCCTCCCTCTCTCTCTCTCTCTCTCTCTCTCTCTCTCTTTCTTTCTTTCTTTCTTTCTTTCTGAGACAGAGTCTCACTCTGTAACCCAGGCTGGAGTGCAGTGGTATGATCTCGGCTCACTGCAACCTCTGCCTCCTGGGATCAAGCAATTCTCCCACCTCAGCTTCACAAGTAGCTGGGATTACAGGTGTGTACCACCATGCCCAATTAATTTTTGTATTTTTAGTAGAGATGGGGTTTCACTATGTTGGCCAGGCTAGTCTTGAACTCCCAACCTCAGGTGATCTGCCTGCCTAATTGTAGATGACACAAACAAATGGAAAAACATCCCATGAATTGGAATAATTAATATCATTAACATAACCATACTGCTCAAAACAATCTACAGATTCAATGAAATCCCTATCAAGATACCAACATCATTTTTCATGGAATTATAAAAAACAATTCTAAAACTCATATGGAACAAAAAAGAGTCCAAATAACCAAAGCAGTCCTAAGCAAAAGAACAAAGCTGGAGGCATCACATTGCCTGATTTCAAATTATACTATAAGGCTACAATAATCAAAACAGCAAAGTCCTGGTATAAAGCCAGACACATAGATTAATGGAACAGAATAGATGACAGAGACATAAGATCACATATTTACAGTTAATTGATCTTTGACAAAGCCAGTAAAAACATAGACTGGGGAAAGGACACCCTTTTCCATAAATGGTGTTAGGAAAATAGATTCACTATATGCAAAAGAATGGAACTGAACTCCTATCATTGTATACAAAAATCAGCTCAAGATGAATTAAAAACATAAAAGTAAAACCTGAAACTATAAAAATACTAGAAGAAAACCTAGGGAAAACTCTTCTGCACAGTGGTCTAGGCAAATTATTTATGACTAAGACCTCAAAAGTGTAAGCAATAACAACAAATGAATAGGGCCAGGCGAGGTGGCGAGCGCCTGTAATCCGAGCACTTTGGGAGGCCGACGTGGGTGAACTGCCTGAGCTTAGGAGTTCAAGACCAGCCTGGGCAACACAGTGAAACCCTGTCCCCACTAAAATACAAAAAAATTAGCTGGGCGTGATGGCATGTACCTGTAATCCCAGTTACTTGGGAGGCTGAGGCAGGAGAATTTTTTGAACCCAGGAGGCAGAAGTTGTAGTGAGCCGAGATCACCCCTTTGTACTCCAACCTGGGTGACAGAGTGAGACTCCGTCTTAAAAAAAAAAAAAAAAAAAAAAAAAAAAAAAAAAAAAAAGACAAATGGGATATAATTAAACTAAATTAAACTAAAAAACTTCTGCATAGTATAGGGTGAATAGAAAACCTGCATAATGAGAGAACATTTTTGTAAACTATTCATCCAACAAGAGACTAATATCCAGAATCTACAAGAAACTCAATTCAACAAATACAAAATAAAATAATCTCATTAAAAATGAGCAAAAAATATGAATAGACATTTCTCAAAAGAAGACATACAAATTCTCAAAAGGTGTATGAAAATTATCAACATCACTAATCATCATAGAAATGCACATTAAAATGAGATATCATCATACCTTAGTCAGAATAGCTATTATTATTTTACTTTTTATTTTGTTTGAGACGGAGTCTCGCTCTGTCACCCAGGCTAGAGTGCAGTGGTGCGATCTCAGCTCACTGCAACCTCCGCCTCCTGGGTTCAAGCGATTCTCCTGCCTCAGCCTCCCAAGTAGGTGGGACCACAGGCACGCGCCACCACGCCCAGCTAATTTTTGTATTTTTAGTACAGATGGGACTTCACCATGTTGGCCAGGATGGTCTCGATCTCTTGACCTTGTGATCCACCCGCCTCAGCCTCCCAAAGTGCTAGGATTGCAGGCGTGAGCCACTGTGCCTGGTCACAGAACGACTATTATTAAAAGACAAAAAACAAAAAAAACAAAAACAAAAAAACAAACAAAAAAAACCCACAAACAGATTTTAGTGAGAATGAAGAGAAAAAAGAATCCTATACATGTTGATGGGAATGTAAATTAGTACAATCTGTAAGGAAAACATGGAAATTTCTCAAAGAATTAAAAACACAACTACCATTCAATCCAGTGATCGCACTACTGGATATTTACCCAAATGAAAAGAAATCAGTGTATCAAAAGGATACCTGCACTCATGTTTATCACAACACTATTCACAATAGCGAACATATAGAGTCAACCAACAAATGATTGGATAAAGAAAAGATGGTGATTATATGCACAATGAAATACTATTTAGTAATTAAAAAGAGTAAAATCTGATTTTTTTTCAGGAACATAGATGGAACTGGAGGTCATTATCTTAAGTAAAACAAGCCAGACACAGAAAGTCAAATATCACATGCTCTCACTCATAAGTAGGTGCTAAAAAATGTGTACACATGGACATACAGAGTGGAATAATAGAGAATGGAGACTCAGAGAGGTGAGGGAGTTGGGAGACAATGAATGATGAGAAATCACTTAATGGGTACAATGTATGTTATCTGGGTGATGGAGACCCTAAAGTCTTTTTTTTTTCTTTGACCCTAAAGTCTTGACTTGAAAACTATGCAAGCTATGCATGTAACAAAATTATACTTGAACCCCATAAATGTATAAAAATTAAAAACAAAATAAACTTCCATGGAGTATGGTTTCTAAAGGACAGCTGCTGTGGAACTGCTCAGTTTTCTGACCTAAAGGAAGGCTGCCAGCATTCAACTTTCAGGCTGAAAGTCTGCATTCACTTATTTTGTGGTTAAAACACTTGACATTAACATAGGGTCTGTGGCTAATGTCATATATATGAAATATATGTCATATATTTTTTAAAATTGAGCACAATATATAAACGAATCCCAAAGGTGGAGCGTTTTCCCAAAGTATACTTCATTAAAACATGTAGATTTTCCTCTTTCAAATATACTGCAAACTATTAGAATGGTTGAATTAGAATGCTTTTGGTTGCAAGCAATAGAAACCCAACTTGATCACAGAAAATGGTGGTTCTTTGGAAGGACCTTGGGCTAATTCCTTACAGAATGAGAGGAAGAATGGAACACTTCAGGATGCATGTGGCAGAAATGGAGCTAGTCTGGGGGTTGACTGACTCCCTAGAGGCAGGGACCTGGCAAGATTGATTCCATATTGCACTGCAGCATTCCTCAATATAGTGGTTTCACCCTTTTTCAGTTAAAGATGACCATGTCTGTAGAAAAGGTGGCCATAAATCCCTCCAAAATAACAACTTTCAGCTGAGTGCAGTGGCTCACACCTATAGACCCAGCACTTTGGGAGGCAGAGGCAGGCAGATGGCTTGAGCCCAGGAGTTTGAGACCAGCCTGGGCAACATGGCCAAACCCTACCTCCAAAAAAAAAAAAAAAAAAGAAAAGAAAAGAAAAAATTAGCTGGGTGTGGTAGCACACGTTTGCGGTCCCAGTTACTGAGGAGGCTGAGGTGGGAGAATTGCTTGAGCCCAGGAAGTCAAGGCTGAAGTGAGCAGAGATCGTGCCACTGCACTCCAGTGGGTGAGAGAGTGACACCCTGTCTCAACAACAACAAAATTCCACATCTATTGACATGAAAAATCTTTAAGAAGGGCTCTGATTGGCCCAATTTTGGTCACCTATTCCTTCACCAGTCACAGTGGCCATGGAGATGGTGTCCTACAACTGCCCAGTCTCAAGTCTGCAGACTTTAACCACTAAAAAAGGAGGACAATACAGACAGGGCCATGGGAAGAATTAACTTGGACCCAGGTCAACTCTCCATTTGTAACTACAAGAACAGAAAAGATGATGAAAATGAAGAAAAGTTGCCCTATCACCCTTAAATGGAGTTTTGAATGAGTATTCTACTTTGTCTATATATACACACATAGACACCTTAACGCACAATATTGTCACAGAGCTACTTAACAAAGAAACGGTTTTGAAATCTATCTGAAGACTATAGGCCTAAAAATAGAGAAACAAAGCTTATCTATTGGGGATCCTTGGAATTTAGCCCTACATGAAGGACTGTTTCTGTTTCTGGAATTCTTTAAGAAATGAAGTACAGCCCCATGAGTCTGATGTAATAAATAAGAACTAGTATACAAGGTTAAATGATACATAATATCATTTTAAATGTGCACACTAACCAAAGAGGCCTCTAACAAAGTGTTTTTCAGATACAAAGTATAACTCAGGGATAAGCCTTAGCTTCCATTCTTCTGTTCATTCAGCAACACATTGAGAGCCTTCTGTAGACCAAGCATTACTCTAGGTTCTGTGGAATTTGTTGTAAACAAAATGGACTTGTCCTGGAACCAATAAAACATTGAGGATGGAAGGCAAAAATAAACAAGTAAACAAAAACCCATGATAAATAAGTAGATAAATGTTCCAAATGATCAAGAAAACATTTTTGAAATAATTATTCTAATTCTTTATAGCCACTGAATCTTATGAGGGTTCATGGTAAATAAAATACTTACAATAGCCAAATAGGGCTCAGCAAGAAACAAAAGGACTTTTAGCAAATCAAGACCCTGATAATTATTTTATATAAATGGTGGAATAAAATATCCTAATAATGAAGACTTTTGTTTATCAACACTGTGGGCCAACAGGTTTTGCAAAATTATTTCTTCTCCCTCAAAGAAAGTAGCTTGGCAGTATTAACCAATGCAAACACAACCATACATGGTCTTTATTTGCAGATACCATGATTACATAAAAACATAGCTTAACCTTCATAGGATACAGACATATACAGTAAAATGGAAAAAAAAAAATCCACTCTTTTTGTTAAAAAATAACTTCAATTTTAGTTTTTTTCTCATTTGGAACTTACTACTTTTATTTTTCATTTTTCTTGCACTTTTTCCTCCTTTGTTCTCTCATTCTTATATCTTCAGTTTTCTTCTCTAAAATATTTAATGTCTATGAATTTACCTCTGAGTAGAATCTTAGCTGAAGCACATCAGCGATCTCATATTCTAAATATTTTGTCATTGCTTTTACATTTCCTTCTTGGCTCCACAGTTTCTAAGTGGCGCACTTTTTATTTCCTTGTACTTGGAATATTTACTATTGATCTAGGATGTGGTCAGAAAACATAGTGCTTTTAAAATACTATTTTCCTTGGGAAATTTACTGTTATTTTTCTTTATTCATGATAAGCAGTTTTAACTACTTATGTATACTTTAAAAGGTGATTTAGTTTCTGTTTGTGGAAACAAAAAAGTTTAAAACATATTTCTACTGATTCAATTCTACTATGTATGTAACCAAAATATCCTATATTCTTTTACTCTAGTCTTCATCCATCAAATTGAAAGTAAAGTGATAAAGTCATGTTCTACAACTGTTCTCTCCATATCTCTTGTAACTGTGAAGTTTTCACTTATATTTTAATACTACACATTTGTAACATAAAGTATTTAACTGTCATACTATCCTTCATTGTGATATATTCCTTTTGTCAATTTCTAATGCATATTTTCTTCTATTTTGTTTGACATGAATTATACCATATTTGTTTTCTCCATTTTCATTTTTGCCTAACATACTTGTCCATTTTCAAATTTTAACCTTTCTAGGTCAATTTATTTCAAAACTTCCTGGTGAACAGCTTTTAATTGGATTTTGTTTCTTAACCCAATCTAAGTTCTTTCTTATTAATTAGGGAATTCACCTGATTACATTTATGTCTTAGTTGTGTTTTGACTTTATCCTATTTTTCTTTCTTTGCTGTCTCCCCACTACCCGTCCCTCATTTGTGTTGCAGGGGCTATTTCTCAGTTAACTTTGCACCTAAGAATCTAGCCCAGTGCCTGGCCCATAACAGGCACTCACTAAATGTTTGTGGAACGAATTAATATATTTAGTATAGACCATTTGTGCAATGATGTGGAAGACACATATGCTGCTTTTAGTTCTATTAGTGGTTAATTTTTTGAAGCATTTAAAAGCCATTATTAAACTTTCAAGGTTAACAGCAGAATAATGCAGTTACACTCTTCTTTCCTAAAGATGAAGAGTTTAGAAGTTTTGAACTCCTTTTGGCAAATCTACTACTCCAATCTTGTCAACTTAAGTCATATTTATGACCATCACTATTTTCTTATTTTTGCAATATGGAGCCATTACTTCACATAAAAGTGTATTTGAGACAATTATTTATATATACACCTTTTTACTTGTTTCTATTTTCAGTTCCAGTCCTTCCAGTTATAATGTCCTCATTCTTGTTACTGTTTTATTTCCAATTTTTCTGGTAAATATTTCTAATTAGTACATTCCAAAAGGTGCCAGGGTTCCTAAATCTTTGTCCATATATGAATATTTTCTATTGCTTTCCAAACCTGATGGCCCAGGTTTGAAGTATACCAGGATCTCTAAATCTCATGTTGCCCTGGAGGTTCCAAAGTGGCTTTTTTGAGGTCACGTTCCTCATCTATCAGGCCAAAGATTTCTGCTAAAAGTAACATAGTCTGTGTGCCTAGCTGGTTTACAGCTATCAGTTGTAGCCTCAGGTATACTTGGAACAGATGAAAAACTGAGACACAGTCTTTTAGACTGCTGTGTCATTGATTAGGCTGAGTCTAATACTTTTTGTTTCTGCATGGGTATCCCCACTTTCTATTCTGAGGTACCTGGCTGGGTCTGGGTCAGGGCCATCTCTGTGGTTAACACTGCACAGTGTTGGGATTGGCGGCCTCTCCGGAACCACATGTGGTGGGGAGAGGGAGTTCTCTAAACAAACAGCAGTGCTGTTTCTAGAAGGTGGAGGCCGGAATGCTAGGCAGCCAGAAACCACATGTATCCACTCTAGGCAAGCTGATGAGAAAGGGATTTCATGAAACCAAATGTGGACCTTCTGAGTGGGTCTTCTAAACATTTTGACCAAGAGTTTTTAGATTATGAGATTTAAACCTAAGGTATTGAATTGAGGTAATTTTCTGAATCTTATTCTTCATTTTTCTAAAATGTCCACAGGTCTTTTAGTTAGCTTGGCTAACATATCAGTTGCATAGAATGCAGTTATTATATTTTTTTCCTGAAAGAATTAGATAATTTAAACTATGGAAATTAAATTAGTTTATATATCCATGTTGTCACAAGAAGCAGACATTATTATGTGAGGCTGGGAGCAGTGGAGGATTTTGGACCTGGCATTCATTTAAAATCTCTCAAGGGCATTCTTGCCACTATTTTCTTATTTTCATAATATGGACTCTTTCTTTCATGTAAAAATGTATTTTTGGCAATAAATTAAATGTGTATGTATGTCTTATGCCATAGATTGAGTTTAGTGTTAACTGTAAAGGTTTATTGGAAGAGAAGGGAGTGTTTACTGGTGGGGATGCAGGGCTAACTAGAGGTGAAAAGAGGCTCTCAAATGCAGGCATATAGTACACAGATCACCCTCACAGTTATTCTCACACTTGCTATCTCAAAAATAGAGTTAAAGAAAGTAAAATTAAAATAGCTAAGAGAAAATCCTTAAAATACCAAATGAATAGAAAATACAGCATCAGAAAGATACAACAGCCATAAAAAATTAGTTCCACTAAAATCAATATGTTTAACTACAACCCACTGTAGGCCAAGGTGGCAGACCACCGTACATGTCCTGTTCTGCTGGACTGACTGTGTCAGTGCAGAGTTCCCTGTAGGATGCTTTGAGCCATTAGTGGAGAACAAAGACCAAAGCCAAAGTCCATACTGAGTTTTGGCATCTTAAACTCAGAATGTTCTGTATGGTAAGCCAACTGGACTCCCTAAATCTTTTCCAAACTTGTTGCTGACAAACTACATCTTTTCCCTTCCTATGCTGTACAAGTTTTTCTATTTTTAATCCAAGGACAGGGTTTTATTTTTACAAATGATTTGGTTCATTATTTCAGACCATAGCTATTCCGACTCTGTGATCAAGTGCCTTTACTTTGCCTCCAAGTTTCCGGTAATCTACAAAAGTTACCTTCTGTATCCTCCTTCAAATTGCTGGTAAAAATAGATAGGACACAACTTGTTAAATTACAGTTTTAAAGGGACAAATACAATTGTAGTTCATAGAAAAGCATGTTTGTTTTTTCTTTTTTCCAGTGTTTCTAGAGAAAGGAAAACATGACAACTCTCATTCTTTGCTTTACGGGGGTAGACACCTTTTTCCTGCAACCCATGAGAGGAAACCTTCTGGAACTACGGGAGGGGAGGTGTGTCGGGGTGAGGGGTTCTGCTGGAGGATTTGTTATTTAGACAGACTAAGGCTTGTCTAAAATGTGGTGAAGAGCAGAAGAGGCAGAGTAAGAAACAAGAGGACTGGACAATGTTCCCTACAAGGAGGTTTCCTCGTGTCAGAGTCATCTGTTGCTGCTAATGTTGTTTTTCCTTTTTATCCAAGTAATAACATAAAGAACATGGGCAAAAATTGCTTTGCAACATCATGGCAAAACACTACAGCTACAGCTAAAACTTGGCAGTTTTGTAATGGACAGGCTTATGCTGTCCATCTCACGGAAGAGAGGCAGTAGGAAAAATTCTGCCCCACCACACACTGGGGAGGTGAGTACATTCATTACGACACCTTGTTCAGGCAAGAGGGAAGAATGAGGGAAAACATTCTAGAAGTTCTGTCAACATATAACCATCCTGATCATAAAGAAACTAAACCAAATACAATAAAGTTGAAAAGTCACCATTTCTATAGTGAATACTGTACTTTAATTCAGATTTAATTAACAAGTTCACAAGCTATTACTCTCAAACAAAAACTTTTTGCTAAAGGAAAAAAAAAAGAACACAAACAACCCAAAGACAATTTGATTTTACTTTATTGAATACTATCACACACACAATATTTACAGATGTAATTAAACAGAATTTATAAGATTACCAAGTGGAATATTTTTCAAAGTTAATCTGAAACTCTTAATGCAAATCATCAATACATATGTGTTACAATACAATAATAGAATGTAGAACTTTTCAGCCAACATCATGATGGTTCATTTAATAAAAACTCTCTTTTCAAAAAGAGGTAAGTCTGAGGAAATATAAAAAAAATTCAGAAAAAATATTTCCATATCTAGTTATAATCTTCCAGCTTTTCTGTAAAAGAAATTATAGACATTCTCAATTGCATACATGACTATTTTCTTTAATACCATATTTAACTTTTAGCATATTGCAGTTGTTTTTCTTTTATCGTATTTTCAGCATAGGTTTAAATGTTTTTCTTATGTTTCAAAAGGAATACCACATCTGAATATTACTTTAAAAATAGCAACGAGGCACGTGGCCACCATTATTACCTTGGCTTTTTATTATGCTGGTCCACGGAAGGGAACCACATGGACAACAAAAGTGAGGGAGTCCTCTAATCAGTTCTAAGTGTGATTCATTGTAGATGCCAGTTGCTTTCACAGACATCGAGAAGACATCAGAAATACAGCATCTACACCTGTATATCTGAGAGAATACTAGGCATCTGTGGGCCAATGGTCCTAACTTCCATCTATAACAATATTCTTAGACTAGAACCACAGAAAATGTAGGGATTATGGTAGCACAGTGACATATGAGGGAGAGTTAACTTCTCTATCCGCACAAATGTAAAGGCATTTCACTCTGATTTTCTGTGAGCTAGATTTACTACCCATACACAAAAGTCAAGAATTCTAGCATTTCTGATCTTTAAAAAGTAGACAATGTGCTATTATACAGAGTTTATTTTCCTTTGGAAAAAAACACAGTTCTTCAAAAGATATTACTATCATTTTTGGAAAAACTAGATATTAAAATGTAAAGGATCTAATCGTATCTACTCATTTGAAACATTTCAAAATCAGTGTGTCAGTGATACTAACTTCTATATGAAAACTCTGAAAAATTAACTTAATAATTTGTAATGTATTCATTTTGTTAGAATAACACTAGTGAAGGGGCTGATAAGCATGACTTAGAAAATCATAATTAATAAATATCATTTATTATCCACTATGTAATAAATATTCACTAGCTAAAAAAGGTTCTGGAAATGGTAGTGGTGCTGGGTTTTGGGGTTGGTTGGTTTGTTTTCAAGTAAAATTTTCCCTTATATGCAATAAACAGATCTTTTGCTCAAGAAATTCATTTTTCAGATAATATACAGGCAAATTTCAGAATGTCATGAATTATCATGTAAATAACTAGAATGTAAATTAATGGTGCTTGAGGGGCCATTTTTAAATAGAGAAAGTATGCCTATTCATGAACAGTTTAAGTAGTTGAAAAAATATATACAAAAATGAAGGTTGAAGTTGAAACAATGGTATAAAGTACATTTGCAATCTAAACCATGGTAGAGAGCATCTTCATCTAGTGATTGACTATTCAATGTTAACACATGCATGCATCTTTTTTAAAAAATCACATATACAGGCCAGACACGGTGGCTCACGCCTGTAATTCCAGCATTTCAGGAGGCCAAGGCAGGCAGATCACGAGATCAAGAGATCAAGACCATCCTGGCCAACATGGTGAAACCCTGTCTCTACTAAAAATATAAAAAATTAGCTGGGCATGGTGATGCACACCTGTAGTCCCAGCTACTCAGGAGACTGAGGCAGGATAATCGCTTGAACCCAGGAGGTGGAGGTTGCAGTGAGCCAAGATTGCGCCACTGCACTCCAGCCTGGTGACAGAGTGAGTCTGTCTCAAAAAAAAAAAAAAAGAAAAAAGAAAAAAAAGAAATCACATATACATATGCTAGATATGTTTCTATTAAATGTAAATATAGCCAGGTGCAGTGGCTCACGCCTGTAATCCCAGCACTTTGGGAGGCTGAAGTGGGTGGATCACTTGAGGTCAGGAGTTTGAAATGAGCCGAGCCAACATAGTGAAACCCCACCTCCAATAAAAACACAAAAATCAGCTGGGCATGGTGGCAGGTGCCTGTAATCCCAGCTACTCAGGAGGTTGAAGCAGGAGAATCGGGGGTAGGGGGGAGGTTGCAGTGAGCTGAGATCGCACTACTGCAGTCTAGCCTGGGCGACAGAGTGAGACTCCATCTCAGAACAACAACAACAAAAATGTAAATACACTACTATAAATTTGAATTTTTTTCTAAAGCACATAGTTTCTTCTGAAAGTTGCCTTATACCAAAACACAAAACACTGATGATTGCTGTGTCTTGGTTAATAGTACGTTAATGTCAGGGGCACATAATAGCTTTCTCAAAATGTATACTTACCTATATGGTCAGTAGTTGATCATTTTTCGAAGGGCATCATAACACTTCCATTTGTCTGGGATGTAGAATGGTTCAAAAATGTGAGGAAATGGTGTGTCATAACCACATACTCTTGATATAGGAGCTTCTAGGTTCAAGAAACATTCCTCCTGCAGACAAAATCAGGATGGTTACTTCAAGAATTTTTTTTATTCACAGAAATGAAATGGTGCAACTTAAAATATTTCACTCACTCAAAATACAATTGCATCTAAGGACATTAAAAATATTTAAGTATGCTGTAATATGAAAAAAGCAGGTAACAGCATGTTAGCATGATCCCAGTTTTACTATCTGTTTTCATGTATGCACATGCATTATACCTGTATATATATCTATTGTCTAAGCCAAACTGGGATAATATCAAACATGCTGTTCTATGAATATGAATGGAAAGAATTATAAAAATTCAACAAATGTTTACAGTAGTTAACTCTGCAACATGAAACTGGCAATAATATATACTTTCTCATTTCCTGTTTTTCTGATATTTTATACAATGAACATGTATTACTTTCATAATAAATGTTAATAATTCCTCCATGTCCCAGCCAGACTGAACTTCTATCAGTTACTTGACTGTGTTCTCATCTCTCTCATAGTCTGGTTTCTGTAGATGCTGCTGGGTCTCTGGCCACTCACACCCCAAGGCCACAGCTCTTTGCCTGACTGATGTGTGTACAAATCTCAGGTTATTACCTCAGGAATCACTCCTGCTGGGAAGCCTTCCTTGACAGCACCTCCCCAACCCTACAAGGCAGACGAGGGAGGGGCTTCTGCTCTGAGCTCCCAAAGCACTGAACTCGGCATAATCCATCGCAGTTGCCCAATTATCTGTCTTCCACGAGAGACTATGAGCCCCATGAGGCTAGAGATCTGGTTTAAACATGTAAAACCTCAACCCCAGTAGAACACTGTAGAAAATTATTTTCAGGAGAAAAAAATGTTACTCAAGTAAAATATTCAAATTTGAATTTATTTTGAAATAGGGTCTCACTCTCTCGCCCAGGGTGAAGTGCAGTGGTACAAACACGGGTCACTGCAACCTCGACCTTCCAGACTCAAGCAATCCTCCCACCTCAGACTACCAAGTAGCTGTGACCACTTGTGCACACCAACATGCCTAGCCCGCCCGCCCTCCCTCCCTCCCTCCCTCCCTTCCTTCCTTCCTTCCTTCTTTCCTTCCTTCCTTCCTTCCTTCCTTCTCTTGCTCTCTCTCTCTTTCTTGTCCTTTCTTTCTCTCTTTCTTTCTCTCTCTTTCTCTCCCCTCCCTCCCTCCCCCTCTCTCACTCTTTCTTTCTTTCTAGAAACGGGGTCTTCAACTCCTGGGCTCAAGTGATGCCCAGCCTCACCATCCCAAAGTGCTGGGATTACAGGTGTGAGCCCCCAAGCCTGGACTGAAAATAAAATGTTTAGAGAGTTAAAAAATTTGAGAGACATGTGATTAAACTATTCTGAGGAAAATAATATTACTTTTAACATTCACAGCTATTACCTAAAATGACACCTTGGTATTTACTCACATGTTTACACATTGTCTTCCTTTATAAAGGATTTAAGGAGGCCCAATTTTTTTTTTAACATATTATACTATGTTTACATTTTAATTCGAACAAAATTTTTACATGAAGGAATCATGATACTTCATGCTTTATCCCTACCCTCTGTGTGATTTCTTCCAGTGACAAGTGTATTGGGGCAGAAAGAAAATGCAAACAGCACAAATTAGCTCCAAAAAGAACCTATTGGACATTTACAGACCTCCCTTTGGCCCCAATAACTATCACGATTTACAATATCAAACACCAAATAAGTGTTGGTATTCCCTAGCAACTGGAAATCTCCACGAACAACTTTAGGACTTTTAATACACACGATTTAAAGAGCCACCTAAGAGATTCCACTACTAATAAGCTGAAAAGAGATGACAGACTGGGTGGATTGTTTCTTGTTTGCAACAAGTCATTTTAAAGGGCTTTAAATTGTCAGTTTGGGATTAAGTCGGTTTTATTACTTTAGCTGACACAGGGCTGTTTTTCTATCTACCCTGAATACTGAGCTCTTCATAAACAAGCTATCCATGGAAAATTAAGGGCAAAATATTTTACTAAACAAACGCCTTTGATTTTATACCTGCTATAAAACGGCTATTCTCTTGAACTAGTAACTTGGAAAGTTGGCCTACCACAAGAAGATCTGTTGGTATTTGTTAAAATCACTCCTTTCAGCATAATGACTAACATCATCAAACTGGGTTTTTATTTTTTCAAATAGCAATGCTCCTAACTCCTCAAGAATGCAAGCCTCACTCTTTCCAGGAATACATCTATATGTTTGCACGAGCATAGGAAAACATCTGCTGTGAAGACACACTTGAACTGTAAACAGTGGTTACCCTTTGAGGCTGCGAATGACAAGGAGGTGAGAGACAACTCCACGTTGTGCTTTATAATATATTGTTTTGGTTTTTCGAAAACAGTATTAATTTTGTAATAAATGATGCTGAAATAAAGGAAAACAATAAAGTGAATAATGGTTTTCTTATATGAATAAAAGTTCCTGTTTGATGTTACATAAATTTGTGATTTTACACATACAGCTTCCTTAATTTGGAAACGATGACTGTAAATTATGTAGCATTAAGTTGTTCTTAAACACTATTATAAGTATGTAAAATGTAAAAATCATGGAAGATAATTCAAGGATATATAAGATAAGACTATGAATAGGGTGTTCAGTTTTTTAAAGAATATACGCTGACTGACTGAAACAGCTTGAAATTCTCTTTACTAACAAAAGTACATTAAAGAGCCTTAAGTTATATTTTCCACGAACTTCAGTTTATACTTATTTTTAAGCAGTTGGAAGTAAGACTCTTAGGTCAATTAAGCAGCTGTATAGTTACTTCTCACTGCATTGGTTCACATATAAATAATTTATGTGTAGTATGTTTCTTTGCACTACCACCAAAACAGAACATCCTTGTTCCGCCTCAGTGTTTTCAGGCAGAAGCTGTATACATGTACATATGTATGTACACACACACACACACACACACACACACACACACACACAGAAAAACAAATACTGAATCCCATTGGCAAGTTTGTAAATTAACGGAGACAAAGTTTCTCTCCATTATAAATACATGAAGCCATAACCATAGCAACCACGTGCCCTGAATTTTCATGACAACTCAGATTAATCATATTCTTCTGTTCCATATCTTAAAAACCATATTTGATGACTTTTCATTCAGAAAAAGTAAGCCACATAAATTGGGAATTAAGTAATGGCATAGCCTACAGGGCTGCTGGGAGACTTACATGTATTATGCAGAATATGGGCTAGAAATGGGGAGTGTTCGTTTATGGTCTTTCTCCCTACAGAGCTGTGTATGTAAGCTGGCTCAGGCCACGTGGAACAATGACAGATGTAGCTGTGAGGCTCCAAAGCAGATTATAGTGTAACATGTAACCAGAAGCAACAGACAGGCACCTAGAGAAACTTTTCTCTAGCTATTTGGGGTCTAAAGTTGCACCCAGGATCCAGTAAAAAGGACTGAAAATGAACCCCGAAACAACGATTTAGTTTCGTATATTCTGTTGTCATATGTGCTTTCACATTGCCAGGTGCTTAAAGTAGATATTTCTTCCAAAAGATGCATGTGAAATTTTAGAATATAATATTTGAACTTACTTCTGAATATGCCTTTTTGCAATAGGAGAATTTTCATTCTAAATTATGTTAATAATAAGAAACTAGGCATGGGCTAAATGAGTTACATTTTATCTCATTTAACCATTTTAACAAATCTATGAAGTCAGTATTATACTCCTTTTCACAGGTGAGGAAATAAAGATAAAGGAGGTTGCCCAAGATCAAATCGCTACACACACGGCCAAGTAAGATTCAAACCTGACTACAAAGCCCATTTTCTTAGTCACTCTTCTGCAAATTTTAAGACACTACTATTGAGAATAGCAATGATAAGGGGAAAAAAATGAATTAGGAATACAAAAGAATGGTAGTGTGAAAGCAGGCTGGGATTATCAAGGTCTGACAACACAGCCTTGAGGGGCATATGAGTTAAGTTCAGTCTTAGAAGCCTCTTTCACATATAAAGAAAGGTAGAGGCTAAGGTATGTGAAGGAGCTGAAAACACAAACTTGATCATGAAGGTAATACACAGAGTAATGAACAGATGGTCCTGGGTACTGGGAACCTCCTAAGCCACACTAAATGATTGTAATAGGCATAACTCCAACTGTTTATATATTAGCCATCTGGATTGCTATGTACATTATAGCCAGAAAAGAAAGCAAACAATGTGAAATAACAATTCCAAATCATTACAATCATAGACACAGGCAAAATAAATTGTCTTCATTTGACTATTTTCTGTAACAAAATAAAACAAAACAAATTTATCTTTTTGTTTTGTTTTATTTTTAGAAAACAAAGTATCTTGTTAAAGTTAGGAAAGACAGAGAACCTTTAAATTTTCTAGCAGGTAGAAAGGACAAGTACAAATTAAAAGAATAAGATCCATTATGGTTTTAAGTAAAATATATTTATGGGGCTTTTAAAAATTAAGAGTATGTCATTTATTCCCATGTTTTGATGAATGTAATATGTTACATATTACATGTACATAAATTCACATATATTAGAGTTTTCACAGGTTTCCTTGGGATCTCTCAATATCTAACCCTGTTTCTCCATTCAAGTTTTAAGTATGTCCATCCCTAATTCTCCTTGTCACAGTGTCACTGGAGTTATATCACTGAAATTTCTGTCTCAGGCATTACACATCATGGCTTAATTCACCCTCAACTTTTTTTTTTTATGGCAAGGTTTCATAATATAATTGATACAGCATGGAATCTGGAATTCTATCTGAAGGGATCTTTGTTCTATTGTGATTTAACCTCCCCGAGGTTTGTACTGTTTATTCAACATCAAAATAGAAGTATTACAATTCCCCATTATTGCATTTTCCTATTGTTTTATGACTCTATTGTTATCTTGCCTTTATGTCTACTCAGATTCTGCAGCAGCATATAAAAAGTACCTGGTTTCATGCCTGACATGTCGTTGTGCTCAATAA